TTAATGCCAAATTGCAGGGTCTTTATTGCCACTGACCACGGAGGACTCGTGTCTCTCCAAGCCATGGCCCCAAAAGGAGGGTGTCAAGACCCTTTATACCCGTAAAAATCAACTTGGGAGTGAGGGTGAGGGGCGGGGGTGGGGGTGAGGAGGTTCTGGACATTCCCGTGGATGCCTGGGCGAAGATGGGGTGAGGGGCTCCAGACATTCCAAGGGCCAGGGGACTTTTTGACATTCTGGTTGATACTTAAGTGGTTCACAAAAGTCAAGATTAGCATTTGCTTACACATCGTCTGGGAAAGGTGCGGATCACCTCAGGAGTTGGAGACCAGCCTGACCCACATGGACAGACCCCATCTCTTCTAAAAATGCAAAAGATTAGCTGGGCATGGTGGCGCTGCTCGGGAGGCTGAGGCAGGAGAATTGCCTGAACCCGGGAGGCGGAGGTTGCGGTGAGCCGATACCGCGCCATTGCACTCCAGCCTGGGTGACAAGAGGGAAACTCCGTCTCAAGAAAGAAAAAAAAGCAAAGAAACTGCTCTCTGTAACCCAAATGTGAATAAGTAATTAAGGCTCGTCTGTTTTTTGCCTCATCTGCTCTCGTGGCCCCAGGCTGCAGAGACTAACAAATTTGTTGTGAACGTTTCCTACAAATGTCCTCCAGGTAGCACCTCAGCACTGGGAGAATGTCCAGTTGGGTGAGATCAAGACCAGCCCTCGAGCCATACCCCAGTTCGCAGTTGCAAATAAAGCCTCTTCTTGGAACCTGTGCTGGGCGTGTGGTCTGTCACCCTCAGGCCACCAGAGTCTAGGCAGTGGGAGAGGGACCAGGATGAGTTAAAATGCCACAAAACTGTTCGTTCTGAGATCCAACTGGATTATCTTCGTTTTTTTCTTTGAGATGGAGTCTCGCTCTGTCGCCCAGGCAGTGGCGTGATCTTGGCTCACCCCAACCTCCACCTCCCAGGTTTTCAAGTGATTCTCCTGCCTCAGCCTCCCGAGCAGCTGGGATTATAGGCACGTGGCACCACGCCTGGCTAATTTTTGTATTTTTAGTAGAGATGGGGTTTCACCATGTTGGTCAGGCTGGTCTCGAACTCCTGACCTTGTGATCCACCCGCCTTGGCCCCCCAAAGTGCAGGGATTACAAGCATGAGCCGCTGCACCCAGCCTCAACTGGATTATATTAAGGGTTCCTCTGTTTCCTGCAAGCTTCTGATTAGGTCCAAAAAAGTTGATTGTGGCCGGGTGTGGTGGCTCACCGCTGTAATCCAAGCACTTTGGAGGCCAAGGCGGGCGGATCACCTGAGGTCGGGAGTTCAAGACCAGGCTGACCAACACGGCGAAACCCTGTCTTTTTGCTAGTTTTTTGTTGCTCCCTGTTTTCTGTGTTTCATTCATGTCCTTCACGGAATCTCGAATTTATATAGAAAGAAATCTCCCCTCAGTTCCACAGATGGGAGAAGATCCTGAAAAGAAACGCGGTGAAAACGAAACCGGTGTTGCCTGCTGGCTGGACACTGCCGTCCGCCTGGGTGTTGGGTTCAGGCCTCAGAGTCTTCACGGGTGAGGCGTCTCATGCCACAGCCCCAACTGGAGACTCTGATTCCATCATCAGATAACTGGAGCAGCCTCTGCTCCTGGGATTTGGTGGCCTGTAATGTCAGCAGCTCCCATGTTGAACCCTCCCTTCTGCGGGAGGGGCGGGGGCGAGGGGAGGTTGGAAGATGCCAAGTGAGCCGCCTGCCCTCTGACCTGCCACCTCTCCTTCCCCAGGTTGTCTTTCTACTCGGGACACGCCTCCTTTGGGATGTACTGCATGGTGTTCCTGGCGGTGAGTCCGTTTCTCCGGGGCTCACCTGTCAAGTCGCTCCTGTCCCTGGACCTCGTTTTTTCCAGCTGTAAAATGGGTGGGTCGTGGTGGTGATGGGGGCACTCACTGACTTATTTGTAAAGACAGGAGGCTGGGCGGTTTTGTGCCCCCGGCCTCAGAGCTCCCATCTGTGCAGTGGGCGTGGGAGGGCCTGGCAGGGCACAGGCTGAGGCGTCCTCTCCCATCCCAGGTCTACGTGCAGGTGAGGCTCTGCTGGAAGTGGATGCGGCTGCTGCGGCCCACGGTCCAGTTCTTCCTGGTGGCCTTTGCCCTCTATGTGGGCTACACCCGCGTGTCTGATCACAAACACCACTGGAGCGACGTCCTTGCTGGCCTCCTGCAGGGGGCGCTGGTGGCTGGCCTCACTGTGAGCTTCTGACCCTGACTAACCCCCTGTGCTGTCCAGAGACCACTCCCTGCACAACCCTGGCCCTTCCCTGCACACTCTTGCCGCACGGAGTCCTCCCCTGGGACCCCTTCCTCCAACCGTGGTCCTTCCCTGGGACCCCTCCTCCCCTGGGACCCCTTCCTCCAACCTGGTTCTTCCCTGGACCCCTCCTTCCCTGGGACCCCTCCTTCCCTGGGACCCCTCCTTCCCTGGGACCCCTCCTTTCCCCGAGTCCTCCCCGGGACCCCTTCCTCCAACCCTGGTCCTTCCCTGGGACCCTTCCTTCCCCCAGTTTCTCCCCTGGGACCCCTACCCCAAACTCCAGTCCCTCCCTGGACCCCTCCTTCCCCTGATTCTTCCCCTGGGACCCCTTCCCCAACACCAGTTCTTCCCTGGACCCCTCCTTCCCCCCCAGATCCTCCCCTGGGACCCCTTCCCCAACACCAGGCCATCCCTGGACCCCTCTTCCCCCCCTTCCTCCTGAGACTCCTTCCCCCAACCCCAGTCCTTCCTTGGTACCCCTTTTCCCCCAATTTCTCCTCTGGGACCCCCCAACCCTGGTCTATCCCAGGACCCTTCCCTCCCCCCCACATCCTCCCCTGGGACCCCTTCCCCCAACCCCAGTTCTTCCCTGGACTCCTCTCTTCTCCCCATTTCTCCCCTGGGAACTCTTCCCCCAACCCCAGTCCTTTCTGGGACCCCACCTTACCCCATTCCTCCCCGGGACCCCTTCCCTCAACCCCAATCCTCCCTTCCCCCCATTTCTCCCCCAGGACCCCTCTCCCCAAACCCAGTCCTTCCCTGGACACCTTCTTCCCCAGTTCCTTCCCTGGGTCTCCTGCCTGCACACCGCAGCCCTTCCCTGGGCCCATCAGCACCCCAGTGCTCTCCACTGGTCCTCCACCAAGAGGGTTCTCTTCCCCCACAGGCACTGTTCCTCTCATTGCCCACCTGGGACCCTGTTCCTCCCCCTCCTGCCCATGCCCCTGTCCCTGGTGACTGCCCAGCCCCTGCCCAGTCTCACCTTCCTCCACTCTGCCAGGTCCGCTACATCTCAGACTTCTTCAAAGCCCGACCCCCACATCACTGCCCGAAGGAGGAGGAGCTGGAACGGAAGCCCAGCCTGTCACTGACAGTGACCCTGGGCGAGGCTGACCACAACCACTATGGGTACCCGCACTCCTCCTCCTGAGGCTGGACGCCTCCCAGGCAGGGAGTGGCTGTGAGTCCAGCTGAGACTGGCCCCCCAGGTGGTCCCTCTGGCCCTGGGTAGGCACTGAGGGCTCCGGATGGGCTCCAGGAACCCTGAGCAGGCTCTACCACCCTCTGCCCTGCACTGGACCAGGGGTCTGGGGAGGCCTAGGTAGCCCTGAGCATTTGGAGAGGGACCTGTTCCTGTAGCTCCCCAATATCCCCATTCTTTTATGGGGTTCAGGAAGGGACTGTTTGTAAAATGTAATGTACATGTGGTTTTTAGTAAAATAGGGCATTGGTTTGACGAGTGGTCTCAGTGCCTCTGTTCCTTACGGCCGTTCTGGGACGGTGTTCCCCCCGTCAGAGGGCTCCGCAGAGCTCAGACGTCAGGCCAACTCACCCGCTGTGACAGTGGAGGGCAGAAGCCAAGCCCGCCCCTTGCGTTTCTCCCTGCAGGGCGCTGTGGTCCAGGGTCAGATGCGTCAGCACACCCCTCCCCTCTGCTCATGTCCACCCCGTGCACCTGGGGGCCACGCTTCTGAAATGGGTAATTCAGGGGCTGGTTTCCCTGAAGTGATGGCAGAACACACAGAGCTTACTTTTTCCACAGGAGGGTAAAGGGTACATTTGTTTTTGGTACAGGCGGTAACTTAAGTGTCTGCTGATGTTTTGTTTGCACCTGGAACCTCTCTCATTCCTTCATCCTGCAGGGTGTTCCTATCAGGACTTAGCCTACGGGAAGGGTGGTGTAGCCCTGGGGGCAAAAATGCAGCCTGGGAGCCCCACCCAAGGGGCTGTGATGGAGACCTGCTCTTGGCGGACAGGAAGGAAGGTGACCCAGACCCTGCGGAACTCCAGCTGAACGTCAGGGACTTGCCTCCACGCAGGTGTCAGAAGGGATCCTGACTGGGAAAGTCACACTGAAGCCTCCCAGGTATCCTAGGGTGCCCCAGCAGGCAGTGATGCCCGAGGACTAAGGAGGCCGTGTCTGGGCTCAGAATGTGTCTCTGGCAGTGGTTAGGAGAGAGGTTCCCAGCCAGATCTCACGGGCAGAGTCACTGCATCAGGAGAAAATGGGAACGACCCAGGTGCCCTGACAGCAGCCGACACCTCTGTCTCCTCCCAGGCGCAATGGCCTTGAAAGTCAGGACCACAGTGAGGGTTGAGCGCGTCTGTGGGAGCAGCTGCAGTGCACAGGACTCCGGTGTGGTCTGCTGGGGGCAGGTCGTCGTGTTGGGACAAGCTGTGAAGACTGAGGAGTGGAGGAAGTTTGGAGTGAGGGAGAGAACGTGGCTGAGTCCTGCTGCTGGCCTCAGCTGGGGAGCCTCAGTGCTTCAGAAAGAGCATGTGCACCCCACGGCTGTGAGAGCAGAGAAAGAAAGGGCTGTACTTACTAGAGCCATCCCCAGAGCGTCCTCAGGAGCCAGGAGGGCCCAGCTCTGGGATCCGGTGGCCTGTCTCGCCGTTTGGGTGCTGCCCAGCTGGGCTACGCATGCACTGCTCTGCATCTGTTGGGAAAAGCCGGGACATGGGGTTTCGGACTCGGAAATTCTCACAGGTTCCCAGTACCAAGATGGCAGGCGGGGCAGCAGTTAGGACACATTTCTTCACCCACACGGAGCTCTGGGGAAGCTCTCATGCGTAATTTTGGGTTTACACTGCCCACACCCTTATGGTTTCATGGAAAAAAATAGTATTTTCTCTTGTTGTACAAGGAGGATTTTTTTTTTCTGTTTCTCACAGGAAACTCAGATTCTTAGCCATGTAAATATCATTTCCCATGGCTGTGTCCTCATGGCCCGGCATTTCTCCCACCTTCGAGGTTAATTAGTTTCTGAAGACCTCCTCCTGGCTGGCCACAGTGGCTCACGCCTGTAATCCCAGCACATTGGGAGGCCGCGGCGGGTAGATCACAAGGTCAGGGGATCGAGACCATCCTGGCCAACATGATGAAACCCCGTCTCTACTAAAAATGCAAAACTTAACTGGGTGTGGTGGCGCACGCCTGTAATCCCAGCTATTCGGGAGGCTGAGGCAGGAGAATCGCTCAAACCCAGGAGGCGGAGATTGCACTGAGCTGAGATTCTGCCACTGTTCTCCGAGCGAGACTATGTCTCAAAAATAAAAAAAAAAAAAAAGGAAAAGAAAACTCCTCCTGAGTATTTGATGATATGCAGGATTTTTTTTGAACGTGTCAGCTACCATATGTTATTCTGGTTTTGTAGGAAACCATACCTACTTTGTTTTTTAGACACAGGGTCTCATTCTGTCACCCAGGCTGGAGTGCAGTGGGGCAATTACTGCTCACTGCAGCCTCGACCTCCCAGGCTAGAGCGATGCTCCTGCCTCAGCCTCCCAAGTAACTGGGATTACAGGCGCCCTCCACCACGCCCAGGTAATTTTTGTATTTTAGCCATGTTGGCGAGGCTGGTCTTGAACTCCTGACCTCAGGTGATCCACCTGCCTCAGCCTCCCAAAGCACCGGGATTACAGGTGTGAGCCACCACAGCTGGATATTTATTCCTCAACTGAATTTCTGTTTGAATTGAAACAATTTAAAATCCTAATTTCGGTAACATTATTTACATTTTTTACGTTAGTTGCTAGAACCCAATGCGAGAAGGCAGCATTTTACTCAACCTCACCCGGCAGTGGTGTGGCCTGCGGCCTTCTGGACAGCATTGGGGGTGGGGATTTGGGGGCGTGTGAGCCCCCGGGCTGGCTCGGCAGTGCGGCCTGGGCCTTTTCCCAGAGGCTTCTTAGCCCCAAGCTGATTGTCCACCCCCAGTCTCCTCAACAGCGAGAGGCACTTTGTCCTGCTGTGTAGAGAATCTTAGTTCTTCTGTCTCCTGCCGCATATTTTCAGGAGCTGGACAGCTCCCAGGTCCCATCCCCTGTCTCAGAAATGACTTCTCAAGTCATCCCCTGCCGCAGCATTTTGTTAGCCTGTTTTGTTGTTGTTCTTTGTTTTGAGGTAGGGTTCCACTCTTCTTGCCCAGGCTGGAGTGCAGTGGCACAACCTCGGCTCACTGCGACCTCCGCCCTCTGGGTTCAAGCAATTCACCTGCCTCAGCCTCCCGAATAGCTGAGATTACAGGCACCTGCCACCATGCCCAGCTAAGTTTTTTGTGATTTTAGTAGAGACGGGGTTTCACTATGTTGGCCAGACTGGTTTCAAACTCCTGACCTCAAGTGATCCACCCGCCTCAGCCTCCCAAAATGCTGGCATTACAGGCGTGAGCCACTGCACCCGCCGAGCCTCTTCTGTGACAGTTGTGATTCATTGGATCTAAGCCCAGTTTTGTTTTTACCCTGACTTGCTGTTTTATAAGCAGGCGGCCTAGTTTAGACATTTTAACGGCATTACAGGGATGGGAAATCCCTGGGAAGAATTGGCCGGCCAGGCAAGGTGTGTGGTGAGGGCATTGCATGGCAGGTGGAAGTTTAGGTTATTTGGGATTACTAAGTTACAGCAATGGAATTTATGAATGAATTAGCCGAGTGAGTGAATTAATGACTGAGTAAAGAAGACTTACCTGAGGCCGGGTGCGGTAGCTCACGCCTGTAATCCCAGCACTTTGGGAGGCCCAGGTGGGCGGAGCACCTGAGGTCAGGAGTTCGAGACCAGCCTGACCAATGTGGAGAAACCCCGTCTCTACTGAAAAAAAAATACAAAATTAGCCGGGCGTGGTGGTACATTCCCATGATCCCAGCTACTGGGGAGGCTGAGGCAGGAGAATCACTTGAACCTGAGAGGTGGAGATTGCGGTGAGCCGAGGTCACGCCATTGTACTCCCGCCTGGGTGACAGGAGCGAAACTC